GTCCCGCTGTTGCGTAGAAAGAGAAGAGTTCAGAATAGACACCTACACCAATGTTTGCTTGGCTTTCTATGTATGACCCATCAGTGAAGACTTGAAGCCACTGATCTCCAGGTAAACTGACATTGATTGTCTCAAGGGCCAGTGAGAGCATTTGCTGAGGGGAGCGCATTTGCTCTGGAGGAGTGTTTGATTTCCTGAAGACGGAGCGCATTTGCTCTGGAGGGGTGTTTGATTTCCTGAAGACGTCGAGGCATTTGCTCTGGAGTGGTGTTTGATTTCCTGAAGAAGTCACGCAATGGGTGCGACACACTACATCAATGCCTGCTAATGGGTTCATGGGTAGAGAGAGGCTTTTTTTCGTTTGTCGTCGATTTGTAATGCTTGTGTATTAAACCAGATTGCGTTTTCAGATGTCTTGGTCTATAAAGGAATTCTTTCTTCAGTTCTATGGCTTTCTGTATTAGACACATGGGAAGAGGGAGGCTTTTTGGTTTGTCATTGATTTGTGATTGTATTAAACCAGATTGCGTTTTCAGATGTCTTGGTCTATAAGACGAGGAATGCTTTCTTCAGTTCTATGGCTTTCTGTATTAGACCAGCATGCGTTTTCAGATGTCTTGGTCTATTCTCATAGGTGCTAGTTTTCAGATGTCTTGGTCTATTCTCATAGGTGCTGAAGAGTTGATCCATGAGAATGCGCAGTAGCTTCTCATATAGGATCAAGCCCTTCTCTTTGATAAGGGAACATATTGTAGTGCTTACTGTAACCAGGAGCATTGCATCAATAAGTGTTGATTTTATCCCTCCAGTAATTAATCGCAATGCTTGGTTGTGTGCCTTCTCGAGGGGTNCTTTGGTGAATTTCGTATTGAGGCAACATATTGGCTTAGTGCTATCCTAACGGTCCCTATTTCTCCTTCGAAAGCGGATCTATTATGTCCCGCTGCTGCGTATAAAGAGAAGAGTTCAGAGAAGACACCCGCACCAATGTTTGCTTGTTTTTCTATGTATGACCCATCAGTGAAAACTTGGAGCCATTTATCTGCAGGTTAGTTGACATTGTTTGTCTCAAGGGTCTGTGAACGCATTTGTTCTTGAGGGGTGTTAGATTTCCTGAAGTGGNTGTCTGCTAATGGATTCATGGGGAGAGAGGCTTTTTGGTTTGTCATCGATTTTTAAATCCTTTTTCAGTTCTATGTCTTTCTATATTAGACCAGATTGCGTTTTCAGATGTCTTGATCTATTCTCATAGGTGCTGAAGGATTTATCCATGGGAATGCGCAATAGCTTCTTATACANTGTACCAATTCGGCTATGTCATTGATGAAGATATTGAAAAATGTGCAGCTTGTCACAGCTCCCTATGGAAGGCTTGTTTGTAAAAGATTGAATTTTGATAGAGCATTTCCATAGCTGACTTTACATGATCTTTGTCCAATGAATACTTTTATCCAATTAAGCATGTTATGCTTAATACCAATCTTTGCCAATTTTAGAATTAGCTTCTCTTTCCATGCTAAGTCATATGCTGATTTGAAATCGACGAAAATAGCCGTAAGGGTATTTCTTGCATCAAGGGCAACTTTGATGTGTTGGGAGAATGTGGCTACTTGTTGGTTCGTTGATCTTTGTGGCATAAAACCTGCTTGTTCACTCCTAAGAATATTGTTGGTCTCAAGGAACCAGGTCGGCCTTCTGTTAATCATTCTTTCCATAAGTTTAGCCAGCACACTTGTGAGGGAGATAGGCCTATAGTTGTCAAAGTTGCTAGTTTCTTTGTCCTTTTTTAGTACTGATATAACTATGGCAAATTTCCATTAGTTAGGAAAGAGACTGGTCTTCCAGATTTTATTGATAAGCGTTAGCATGGCCTCATTGGCTTTTGGTTCCATTCCATTAATGACTGGTTTGTGACCAGAACCAGGATCGTCAATTATTGTGCGGTGACTGGTTTGTGACCAGAACCAGGATCGTCAATTATTTCACGGACTGGTTTGTGACCAGAACCAGGATCGTCAATTATTTTGCCTGGTTTGTGACCAGAACCAGGGTCGTCAATTATTTTGCGGCGTGTATGTTCACTGCTGTCGCTTGAAGCCAGGAGCGAGTCAGGAGCTGTTCTGGTTCCATTGTAGTGCAAATATGT